GAGGGAGGTCTGGGCCTCTTTGCTTAGGCTGCTGCCCCCGCGACCCGGCCTCGGATAAAGCGGATGAAGATGGATGGATGTTTCTAAATGAACAATCTCCAGCACCTATTGCCAAAGCACAAGCATGAAGTGACATAACGGCATGTTTAAAGACTGATATAGAAATGCTGAGGTCACTCCACGGGTACATAAGAGGATGATCTTGAATGGGAGATCACCCAAAATTCAATCATGTATAGCCTTTTGATTTTCACAGGCACGTTCCTGAAACTTTCCAATCGCACCTCATACATCTTATTAGGTCCAAAAATGAACTGCCTATAGTTTAAGATTGTGAATAAAGTTGAAGTAATGCAGGGATTATGAGCTCCGCTGGAGACTAAACAGCATCACTCCAATGAAAGCATGTGAAAACATGTTTATTTACTTGGCTTTGGTTTAGTGCACGTGTAAGCACAGCCTGTGACATTTCAGCGACAAATAATCAAATCGTCCTTGGAAATGACAGCAGTAAACAGCTAACACCATCATGGCTTGTGAACGTGACAGTGTAGGTCTGATTAGAAAAATCTGTGAAGGCCCGATATCGTCGGTGCATGTGTGGTACCTTATTAAAAACCCAGATCTCTCCATTGACGGTAGGTCGTGGCACGCCGTGGCCGTTGTAGTGGAAGAGGACTCGTTCTTCCTTGGCATTGCGTCTGAGTGACGTGCACAGTTTCTTCACTTCATCCACCGTGGGGTCCAGACTCTGCTTGTAACGGGCCTGAAAGAGGAAGGAAGAAAAGATGTCACAATGATTGATGCTTTAGTCACATTGGGAACAAGGACACTGCTGCTCTGCGTTTTGTTTCGGGCAGGGAGATGTGCTGCATTTATTTTTTTTCTTTCCTTTGCAGTTCAGTAGTCCTGCGTCAGTCTAACTTTCTCTGTTTTCCTTTTCTTAGATTCAGCAGCACTCACTGACCCTTGGTTTTGAACAAATAAACAACCACATTTTGGTTATACGTCGTTTCCTCCACCTTAGCTTAGCTGGGAAGTAAAGAAAATTCTGCTTTTGGTGTATGAAGCACTTATTGGTCTGTTTTGAATATAT